CCCTGATGTCTGCAGTAGGGGCAACTGAAACAGTTTAATCTATACCATGTTTTAAACTTAATTTTAAAAACCAATTTTTGCTCGCAAATGAAGTAAACATTTGTTTAAAAACTTGGTTTATTGTTCACTAAATTAAGTATAGAAGCAACTTACCATCGTTCTTTATGGCATCATTATAATTTGGCGGAAGTACCCCTTTGTTCATACAATCTAATGCATAGCTTCTGCAAGACAATAATATTATCCATTTGAAAGGAACCAGTCATTGACAAAACTCAAGGATTTCCTTGAAAACTCAAATCAATCAAATTTACTAAAGTCGCCTTGAAAGCACCGAAAACAAACTACTTTCTACAACATTTCACGAGCAGATTATGCTGGGTTTTCCCTCGTACACCAACATCTAAAAGCTTCTCACCAAATACAACTTCCCCCAGAATTTGTGGATACCTGGAAATCTGCCAAGGCTTCCTCGCCAAAACTAGCATTCTATAATTCTAATTCGAAAAAGCTTGACAAGGTTTCGTATCAGCTGCCGCAACCTCTACATCAAAAGGAGCAGATACACCCCCATTTGCATTGTACCAAGAGAAGGACTTTGGTGCACTTGCTGCTTTTTCAGCAAAGGGCTCAATCCTATTGAGGACGAAAATCACGTTTCAATAGACTGTTTGCTCTACTCTTCCGTTAGATACCTGAATGTCAATCTTCTTTCCTCTGTACGCATAAAGAGCGACAAGAGTTGTTCTTAACATAGCAAATCTTATCCTTGTTCTTACATGTCCCCAAAATATGTCCCCAAAACATCACTAACCTAGCCGGTTTGCTCTCCAATAAATCTCTGATATGATACTTCTAAATTATTCCCACATATTTGTAAATAATTGGATTTGTACTCAAGTTGTAACTTAAATTATTTCAGAATTACAACTATTGTGTACTCAATGATGTAATTATCACTTTTGTATCCTTGTATCCCTTGTATAACATCAGTTACTGTTAAGTTCTGCAATAAGCTTTTTTAATAATTTTGTGTTGTATATTGAGGTATTCAGATTGTTTGTATATTTGTAGTTCTATAGATTTTTATAGAATTTTAGTATTTTAGGAAATTTCATCTTTATTATTAATCAACTATATACAGCAAACACAAGATAATAGAAATTAAATCATAAAATCGAGTGGCCGAGTAGTCTCGACTCACCCATAGCTTCTCCATAGACGTCTATCATGAGCTTTGTACACTAAATCGTTGAAATTAATTAAACTAAATCTTTTATTTACAATCACAATAATTTGTTTTGTCATAATGTCTTTTAATAATAAATCAAATAAATTTGAACGAGGTCTGCCCCTCCTTCCTTTGTAGTCAAAACATCCTAAACATGCAAATCTGAAAGATAAGAAGGCGGGAGTGTCATCACCGCTTCTGAGAACGTGCCCAAGCATTTTCCATCTTGCTTTCTTGATCCTTTCAGTAAGGGGTCGGACATTACATCTCTTATATAAATTCTCGTTACTGATAACCGTAGGCCAATAGGTGTTGATTATCTGTCTCAGATGCTTCCTTTGAAGAACGTCGACAGATGCCATTACGGTTTCAGGTGCAGCCCAGCTGCTACAGTTATACAACAACACTGAAGTGACAAGAGCTTCGTACAGCTTCAGCTTTCTACTCTCACTGATCTGAACAGAACTATTCAACCAGACTTTCTTGTAGGTGTAGAAGGCAACATTGGCTTTGTTGCGTCTGTTGACAATATCTCTTTCTGAACAGAGCTTTGATCCTAATAGCACTGACTCTCGCCACTCTTCATCTCCTCTAATTTTATTGCCATGGGCATCTAAAGCATCTGTATCTGCCAAATACACTCTTGTAAACACCGTCTTTGATTCGTTAACAAAGAGACTCCAATCCTTTAGTATATCACTGGCAATCTCCAGTATCTTCACCAGGCTCTGACCATCTTCACTCAGAAGCTCAGCATCGTCAGCATAGGCGGACTCTAACGGGAGGCCTCTATCAGAGACTGGGGGGTTCGGTCTAGGAATCGTGACACTGATCACGGCTCTGATGTGATTCAGGGCACCGGCAAGGGTCAATGTAAACACTTTACCTGCCAGACTGTCTCCCTGGTAAGCGCCAATATTAATCACAAATTCACCAGACTCAGATCTGTTGACCGTCACCTTGAGCTTTGTATTTGAGAGGAGGTACTGAACTAGGCGAATGTCGTCTCTAGAGCATCCTGCATCAATGAGGAGGTTGATGATGGTCTGTCTGCGGATAGTATTAAACGCAGCGGTCATGTCAATGTTGATTTTACTATACTCAAACTCGCGCCTGGTAACCACTGATGTCAACATTCTCTGAGACCATACCAGGTCAGCACAACTGCGACCCTGCTTGTATGCCGCCTGCCAAGGTCCAGTGTACATATCAACGTGGTAATTGATTCTGTTCAAGGCTACGAGGGATAGGACTTTTCTAGTTCCATTTAGCAATGTGAGGGGCCGGATAGACTTTATCGGACCTCGGGGTTTTCCTGGCTTCTGAAGGGGTGTCAGGATACCTTCTCCAATAGCTGGGATGTATGTGTTGGTCTCAAAGGAGAGATTGTAGATCCTAGCCAACTCACAGTGGAGGGGATATCCAGCAGCTTTCATTAGCTCATTAGGTATACCGTCAGGGCCACACGCTCTACCGGATTTCAGCTTCATAACAGCACGGCCAACTTCTTCAGGTGTTATGGGACAGAGGAGGCTTCCAGGAGGGTCAATGAATGCTGGGAGGTGGGGTTCATCTTTGTCATTGAACTCATTATTAAAGTATTCTTTAATAGCTTCTGCTTTTAATGAGTCAGAACCTAAGGTGTTCCCGTCTGCATCATGGACAGTCACTCCGTCTTTCTTCATCCTACACTGGGCCAAAGTTCTATTCGCTTCAAACATGCTTCTGCAGCTGTCGGTGTTGTTGATGACATCTACTAGGGCGTTAGCAGTGGCCTCGTTGATGGATTTCAACCTCTTTTTGATGGTACGTTTGAGATGGTTGATTCTTTTTCTGAGGTCACTCCTGTCGCTTATCCCTGTGAGACTACATTCTTGCTGAAGGGACTTTCTCTCTGCTGAAAGTTTAACGACAGTTGGATCATCGCTGTACTGATGAGGCTTCCCCGGGGGCACTTTACCAACCACCTGGACGGCACATTTACTCAATATACCAAATATATCAGAATTTTCAGAAATAGCATTATTAGTTAAAACTCTACAATCAATATTACTTTTAAAGGAATCAAAAAATTTAGACTTAATATCAGAATCATTAAGGCGATTGACATCAAACCTTATTTTGTCAGACCTAGGCCGCTTATGTACAATGTATTCACAACCAAGTTTAAAACGTGCGACCACAGGTTTATGGTCAGATTTCACAAAATCACCGCAAAAAGAGCGGGAGTCTGTTAAACAGACTTTAAAGTTAGTACGACATAAAATATAATCAATTTGTTTAAAATAGTTCACAGTGTCTTTTGAACCCTTGGGTCTACCCTTGGGAACACATCTAGCCTTCCAGGTGGTAATATGCTTCGCTCTGTGTTGGAACGCAGTATTGCACGCAAACAGACCATTATCAACAATAAAGTCCAGTAGGAACTCACCGTTCCTGTTTCTCAGACCATTACCGAACTGACCAATATGATTATTAAGGCCAGCATCATACTCTTTCCTACTGCATCTCCCAAGGCGGGCGTTAAAATCTCCAGCAACAAACAAATCGAATCGAGCTGGGATATTGATAGCAGTTTTCAGATCATTGAAATATGATTGTAACAATGGGGAGTTACCTGTGACCCTACTGATGTCATCATCGACAATCTTCTTGGTTGGTCCGTACACGTTAACGATCCTGGTCATACGATGAGATCCGTTGTGTTCTGTGAGTCTTATATCAATGAAAGCCACTCTGTTACTAAGTGATCTCCATGCAACAATAGAAGGTACAAGGGCTGGGCAGATTAGGAAACCGAGACCATAATGATACCAATTGTCTGATTGGGCTAGTGTTACAAGTTTGTGACCGTCAATAATTGTTTCCTCGAAGTCTCGGCATTTTGTCTCTTGGAGACACACTACATCAAAATGATAACGTTTAGCGTCACTTACTAAATGTTCTCTCCTAAGAATGTTACCTTTAATACCATTGAGGTTCCAACTTGAAATGTTCAAAGTCGAAGACATCGGCATAAGGAGAAGTAAGGTGAGCAAAGGTAGACTTCTAGCGAGCACGTCTGTTACAACTGCCATTCTGCTAGCGGGGGGCGTCACTCCATTCCATCCTGACTCTTTATTATCTTTGTATATCATTTCATCATACTCATCAGAGAGTATGAGACTCTCTGATGAGTCTCATACATAGATCTCTTGTAGTCATCATCTATTTTTCATATGTTTTGTTAGAAAACCTGCTAACCTTTCTTGGATATCTTCTTGTTAGGTGTATCTGGATTTTACACTTTATTTCCACCAGGAAACTTAAACTAAACCTCAAAGGTGTTGCCCTCATTATATGGATCCTTGCTGGCACACCTCAAGGAGGAGTTCTATCACCTTTCCTATGGAACATAGTTCTCAACTCACTTATTATTCTCCTCGACACATTGAGGAACCTGTTAGCATTCGCGGATGACCTAGCCATTATCATCTCAGGCTTCTGTCTAAACACACTCAGAGACCTTGGCCAACACTACATCACAGCTTGTAACAAATGGTGTGAAGCAAATGGCCTCAAACTCAGTGCAATCAAAACACAAGTTATCATATTTAGCAGAAAACACAAAATCACTCTGCCACCCAAGATAAAACTGAAAGGCCTAGACATAGAATTCTGTAAAACAATCAAATATCTTGGCATTCATCTAGACAGTCGCCTTAACTGGCATGATCACGCACACAAAACAGCCAAAAAATGCACTAACATCCTCTTTGCAACGCGTAAAATGATTGGAGACAGATGGGGTCTGAGCCCAGACAAGATCTGCTGGGTATTTAACGCCATAATCAAACCAATAATGACCTATGCCTGTGTTACATGGGCACCCAGACTACTTGATAACAAATCTCTCATGACACGATTGGACCGAGCAGGGAATCTTACACTACTGATGGCATCAGGCGCCAGACGCACGTCGTCTCAGGAGGTCTTACACACATTATTTTCATTCCTCCCAGCTTCCCTCGAGCTAGAGAAAACATCCCTCCTCCAAGCCCTCCGCCTCAAAAGCCTTGAACACTGGCCTAACCTTCAAGTCGATCACACCGTACGGAAATCCCTTGAACCATGTTGTTACATTATTGATCGCATTCTAAACAAGATCTTCACAAACTACAACTGCCACACAAATGACCTGACCAAACCAACTAACATCAGCCAGAAGAATTACACCTTAGAAATAAACGGTAACGACATGGTTCCTCTAGATCCAATTAACTACATAATTACAACTTACACAGATGGATCGAAACACTCAGATGATTCCACAGGCTACGGTGTGGCTATCTTTATAGATAAAGAAACACGGATGACAGAAAACTACACCATGAAACAGCATCACACAGTCTTTCAATGCGAAGCACACGCTCTCCTCAGAGCTAGTATCCTTCTAAACGACATTTTGTCATCCCCCTCTCTCTCAGAACACAGAGTCATAATCTACTCAGACTCACAAGCACTGATCAAAGCACTTTCGAACCCCTACTCAATCAGCAAAACCATCATAGATCTCCACAATAGCTTAAACGATACAGCCTCAACTCACCTTATCACGATAGAGTGGGTTCCAGGTCACAAAGACCACTACGGAAACGAGCTTGCAGACAAACTAGCGAACATCAGAGCTGTCGTACCAAATCCAACTCTCTCGACAAACCAGCCGAACATTCCCCACACATTCTTCAAAAACAAGGTTCACAAATATACAAACGACAAAAAGAACAAGCGCTGGAATAACTCTAACATAAGTAAAAACACAAAAGAACTGGTATCAGCAATTGTAAACCGCAATCTTCAAGGCCAACACCTCTTCAAGCTGGGCTTTGACGTCCTCAAACCATTGACTAGACTCATTACAGGTCACAACAACCTCAACCATTTCCAAAACAAAATTGACTTCACAACAGCACCATATTGTAGCTTCTGCGAAGACGACGTCCACGAAACAGCCATGCACCTCATATGCGACTGTGAATATTTCGCCAGGACCCGTATGGAAAAATTCGGAGAAGACCCGATAACAATTGATCAACTCATGCGCCTTACTTCACTAACAAAGAAAAAGGATTTAACAGTACTACTAGACTTCATCGGGGACTACGAACTATGAATCGTAACCACGCTACTATAAATATTCATGGAGTAAATAACAAAGATATAATGTAGCGCACACACATCGCGCGCGACAACCACTGCAGCCTGGGCGTAAGGCTCAATCCCACTCCACAAAACCTAGTACTTATAAAGCAACAACATCATCAAAACCCACACACCACCTTCGCACAAATCAGCTATTCCTCATTCACTCACGAGCGTCGACATATCTCCCCATGTACATCTGTAAATTGGAGCGGCCCCCCGCGACGCGGAGCAGGTAAGCTACCTGGTTCGGGCTTCTTCACTTATCAGAGTACACTAGCACCACAAAACACTAGACTCAAGCCCTCAGCTTTGCGCGCATCCTTCACCTTCACAGGGCCGGCTGTCCATATCCTGTAATATCCTGATTCTATATGCTCGCGGGGTCTATTACCTGTTTGAGCTCTATTATTACGCGCGCGTGCCCAGTGTACAGCTCACCGGCCTGCGTTGTCCACTGGACATGGATGTCGCCTACATGACCCTCAAATCTAAAAGTAGGTTGAGGGCACCACAGCGGGCCTAGCGCTGCCCTCTGTCGACATACATACATACATACATACATAGGTGTATCTGCCTTATTTAGTCAGGATTTAACTTGCAGTTATAAATTTCCGTTTTTACTCCCGTCCAGGGCGAGATGCACGATCTCTACTGTCATTTAGGTATCATTTACAGCTGTGCATAAGGGTTAAATTTAAATTATTTAACCTTTCGGTGCTGTATAAAAATAACATTCATTTATTATTATTATTATTATTCTTTTTATTCAGTGTTCGAACAATATACACAAACAAATTCAGCAATGGTAATTGTACAACTATAAGGTTAAATACCTATAAGTAAATTCAGTGTTAAACTGAAGGGTAAAGATACTTGTGTTTATCTAGGGATAAATGTACATGTGATGGTTAAGATACTGTACTCATAATGGCACACAACTAGCAAATAAAAATCCTATCCCACCACTACTATTTAAATAGTAGTTAATGTTCAATGATGTTACAAAAAATGTGGACTCTTTGTTGACAAACTGTACAAAGATTAGTGTACAAACATTTATTACAAAAAAGTTAATCAGTTATACCAGTCAGCAAACCTTAAATTTTGCACAAGTATGATAATAATAATATATATATATATTATAATAATATTATTCTGGTCGATTAACGTCAACTTAGTCAGGATTAAGCAAGTTATAGACATATTTCATACGTATCAAATTGGGATGATGATTAATCACTCCACACTCGTAACTCGACTGTCACATGAACTTTTTAACCCGTTCTCTAAGCTGACCTTGTCATACGTTGTATAACCCGCCGCGCACCTAGTGAAACGACCGTGGGTGTCACAACGTGATACAAAGCTGACCCTGAACGACTATTCGAAATCCAAACCCTTTAATCTGATCCAAACACTAATCCTAACCCAATCCCTAACAAAAGCATATGCTGAAACCCTAAACCCTAAACCTAACAAGAAATTAGACTAACTTTCTTATACTGTCATATCACGTGATCTAAACAGTTTTTCGCCAATATCTTGCCAGTGGAGCATTTTAATACATCGATTCAAGTTGGTTTCGACTGTGAGGGCCCTTTTAGAAGATCGATGATTTAGCACACTCCATCAAATTGGATGTGCTTTCGGTGGAAAAGAGATATAACCTAGCTGTAAAAATACAAAATAAGACAATATTTGCTTGCGCGCTTGATTTTCATTATTGTTCATACTACGGTGTAATTTTGCAAAAATATGCGCGGCGCGCCTAACATTTTAATTTAATTTGAACATCACACTTTTGCCATAATAGTATTTAGTAGTACCCACAATTTTTTTTTTGATTTATTTTAAAACCACAAAAAAATGAAGCAATTTGTTCAAATTCAAATTATTGCATATTGTATAAAGTAACGTTTATTTATTATTGTATAATATTAATAAAGAGCAGTTAAGTGGAAAAAGCAATGGAAAGAGCAGTGAAATAGCAAGCAATCGCAATAAAATGAAATTATTTAGCGTTTAGAGTTTAGACTGTCGCATGTGATTAGATATTATCGATATTTTAAAATCGTGCAAATGCGCCTTCGGCTTCGCGCGCGAAAAGTGGCATGCAACGTATGTCAATAATTTGTTATTGCACGTTGCACGCGTGCAAAATAGTTGTTTAAAATCAACATTGCGAGCCTCAGGAAATTGCTATTTGTCCATTGTTAATGGACTGGCGCGGCGCGGCGCGCTACTTCGTAGCACTTGTGACTTGCAATTGCCTCAGGCTAATATTTCGAAAAGAAATTAGCGGTTATATGCTTTGTGCGCGAAAAGTGACATGCAACGTACGTATGTCAAGTACTGCGTGACGCGCTTAACATGTTTCACAAGTCGGCAGTCGCGCGCTACTGCAAGCGAGAGGGCTTTGGTTAGAGCAAGCACTATGCACTAGTCCGAAGAAATTTAGACGGGTAATTGAAACATGTATATCCGTCAAGTGTAATGCTAGAAGCTCGAAAGGAGTTGTAGCGCGTTTGATTCACGATGTCAATCCTTTGCATGTCGCCGCTTTGCATGTGATTGCGAGAAGCATTATTGGATGCGCGCCCGGCCCAGTAGTGCATCGCGCTACAATAGCGCGTAGGTTTATAACCTACCATACCAAGACGCGCGCCGAGCTGGACTTGTCAACGGTCTATTTGGAACAAACATTTCATTGTATCACGTTGCGACCCCCACGGTCGTTTCACTATGGTGATACTGATACAGGGGGAGCCGCGCACTTCGTGCGTGACGAGTCATACAACGTATGACAAACATTTTACGAGTATCACCCGGTAAGAAAAGAGCGCGGCGCGTTGGGATTGGCGTGCCAGTTTATTAGCGGAGAGAAGCAAGAGTAACAACCAGCGAGCTAGGTTGTACTTGTAGGTAAGTTGTAGGTTTACAACCTACCAGGACGCGCGCCCAGTTGGACTCGTCGACGATATGGAACAGATATTTTACAAGTATCACAGATATTTTACGAGTATCACAGATATTTTACGAGTATCACCCGTTAATAGGTAAGCAGTGTAATTTAACATTTAAACTGCGTCATGAGTCACTTAAAAAACAACGAGTTTTTACTTTGTCAATGTTCCCAGTAATAGTAACACTAACATATCCCGGTAGTAACCGTAAAAACAAAGTAAACGACGTATGTGAAGTAAAAGACATGTATCAGTTTGTTATAAAACTAAAAGTAAAAACGAAGCAGACAATTGCCAATCCTGGAACAATGAAACATAATCTTGGCGGGTGAGCATCTGGCTTAAAACAATCTCTAAATTCCAGAGCAAGAATTCAACTTCAAGAGTAACTCGATAAAGTCTATGAAGAGGCTTTATAATTTCAAGCATAATATTAGATGCAATGGTCACTTTAATGGTGGTATGCTAAAATTATGGATCCTTGGAGTCACATACCATCTATACTGTATATACAGTTGATAAAAGCTGTGTTGCTCTGCGTTCTCACGGGTTACAATTCAGTAAATCGGAACCAAACATAAAATAAAGAACACTATCGGTCATACCAAATCAGTGTAGATAAGTCAAGTAATATATAATAAATATTTACACAGTAAAGCATTTGAAAGATAAACTTATCAACCGCGTACTATCAGCTAAATTTAAGATGAAACTCGAGTACGTGACCATTAACCAAAAATAATTTTTTTAAAGAATTATTTGATATAATTTCCACACGAACTTGTTATTTTCGTAACAAATATGTAATTTTAATGACAATTTAAGTTTAAATGACTATTAACACGATAAATCAGTTAACGGGAAACATTTTGAAGTAAGAATTGTTTTAAAGTTTTCCTCACTTATATTTTACTGTTTATACACAACCCAAATCTTGCATTCTATCAGACACTTCAATATCTACAAATAACTATCAGTCAACTACTTTGGTTAAGGCTAAGAAATAGCGTAAGAATTGTTTTGACACGTTGCCGCAATTCAAAGATTTAACTGGCCAATTACGTGGTAAGTCTATCAACAACGACCAATAAAATCTTTGAAATAGAATTGCTACCACTTGAAAAAAACAAACTTCGGCCAACTCTCACCATTTCGCTCCTCTATAATAGCTATCCACTGAATCATTGAAAACGATTATAAATTACCAATCAACTGTCAAGGGGTCGTTCACATATTCACAAGTAATCAGCCGAGGGGGAGATGGGAGGGGGGTTTCAAATGATTACGCTAGAGTAATTTTGACACAATAGCTATGTGTAAAACTGATTACGGAGGGAGGAGGGGGGTTACAAATTGTCCAGAGTGATTACGTAATATGTAATTAAGTGATTACGTAATATGTCAACGACCCCTAATTAAAAGAGCACTGCTCAGAGGCATCGAATTCCTACAAAAATATTATGTACTAAAAGTAAAAGATATCTTAAGTTTTACAGAGAGTACAGATAATAACCGTTTACATATCATAACACAAACAGCCAAAGTAGTGGGATGAGTTTCAACTTTCAGCAATGGCAATGCAGCAAACCGAAACCAGTTAAATTTAGGAAGTTGCGGGGTAGTCACGTGCAGCATTATTAGCAGTTTGCTGGAATGCGAGTGGCGCAAAAACTCGGCTCTTGTGTACATAATTCTTCGAAAAGGGGCAGAATTTATGGACATTTTCGGATTTCTCAGATAGGTCTGAAATGTTTTAGCGGAAATGTAATTTCGAAAAAAATTTCGGAACCAAAATTAAAAAGCAAATTAGTAATAACTTAATAGCCTCATTTCGCTGCAGTTTAGGTCCAGATGTTGGTGGGAAAGTGGACCATATTTGTTTTAACGTGTGACAGTAATTAGTGTGTTTTAATTGGTCAATTCTGGAAGCTGATTGGTCAATATATGTCACATGTTAGAAAAAATATGATTCACCCACCAGTATCCGGATCTACAAGCCACCCTG